GAGAGGGGGGGGTGAGTAGAAAAAAAATATTATATTTTCTATCATTTATTAAAAATCTCAAATTTCAGGGTTGCCAATTGTCCACCTTAGGCTTAACCTAGTTCCACTCTTATAGATAGATAAGTTTCATATTTTTAAGGCATCATCCATTGAATAATTTACTTCTCTTTAAGGAAATAAATAGGACAATAACCAGGTAGAGTATTTCTTGGGTTGGACTTGGCTTGGTGATGGCCGACCACCGCCTCGTCGTTGTTGTCACTGTCACTATTGTTGTGAAATCGCCAGTTTGTTTACCGTCATATAGCCTCTTTCTCCGAATAACTCTCTCTGGTTGTGTGAATGATCTAAAGAGAGAAGAGATCGAAGGGCTAAGCCATACAATGATGGGAACAAATAAAAGATACACGTGGGAAAACTTTTGTGAGGCAGACTTCGCGTAGAAAGCTCCAACGCATTTGTCTGAGGTAAGATCGGTTTAGAATAGCTTAAAGACACACCCGCGCAGATGAACTTACGAAAACAAACCCCATAACTAGAGATTCTAGGTGTTATACTTATTTTGGGGTTCACTTCTTCATAAATTGACAAAACCTTATAGTTAATTACTTTTAAGCAATTGGGGGTTACTTAAGAAAACTCTTGATAAATGTTGTAAGTCGTCCTCAGAAAATTTGAATGTCATTACTTTCAAGGAAGGAGTTTCAAAGTCCAATCTAATGGGTAGTAGATACTTGCAGGCTCAAAAGAGTCCTATCAAGACACGAAACTATCTTATGGTTTTGTGTTGTTGTCTATAAGTAGGCAGAAAACTCCTACAAGCATTGTTGTAGGGATTTTACAGGGAAGTAGACAACCTTGATTGCTTTGACTGCTGTTCATGCAGTGTTTGTAAGCAGACTGAAAGCTCCTACATGTAATGATATAGAGGAGTTTTCACGGAAGTAGACAACCGTGATTGTCTTTTCACTACAATTTCTGGACTGCCTGTAGGAAGTCACAAAACTTAAACTTGGCTGAGTTTTTAGTTTTGTCTGTCATGTGTTTCGGCAAGTAGACAAATGTGTTTGTCTTTTGACTGCAGTTTCTGCAGTGCCTATAGGAAGACTCAAAACTTAGGCTTGGCTGAATTTTTGAAATTTTTCTGTCATGTGTTTTGGCAAGTAGAGAAGATAAAATGTCGAATTTTCTAGATTCAGGCTTGGCTGAAATTTGAGTTTTGTCTGTCATGTGTTTTGGCATAGAGAGAATGATATTGAGGCTTTACTGAAAATTGTGTTTTTTCTGCCATATGTTTCGGCATAAAGAGAAATAGGTTCAGGCTTGGCTAAAAACTAAAAAGTAGCTCCCCCTGACGCTTGGGCAGGGAAGAAAAAATATAGGCGATATCTCCTGCGAGATGATGATGAGGTGGGTGACGACATCACTGGTGCCACTACGGCTTGAGCCCCTACTCACGACCCCATTCTTCTTGATTTGTTTGGCTCATGCAGACCTTGTGCGCAACGAACGCAACATGTTTTGTCTCGACTAGTGCATTCTACCTCTATTATCGCTTTGAGCAACATGACAGGCATCACGTGATTCAGATACGATGGTTATCTTACCACGAGGTGGTTTATGTTGCAGAGATCTAGAAGGTTCTGGAGATAAGGGGGCTCAAACGTTTATGATCAACAACGTTAGAGCGCTCTTCCTCAACGAGCGACTCCAACCACATACTAGCGGGAAGGGTGCATCCCCGCACATGTGTTAGATCTTCGCTCGATCCCTACTCGATCCCTTCTGATTTTGCTCATTGGGTTACAAGTTAGTGGCAATTAAGTGTAATGGGGACGCGAACTTTGTGTCGTCAGGGGATGAGGAAGTGTTTGCTTGGCTGCCTGTAGCGTATTCCATATTCATCCAAGCTGCTCTTGACGGCGATGCAATCATCATCAGAGACGATGAAGCTGACCTCGATCGAGACGTTGGATCATGATACTGGATCGATGTCATCAGTGTTAGGGGAGTCCACAAGAGCCAGAACGGTGACATTATAAATGATGACATTGTTGTTGTATACCAGATGTAGATTTCATACTAGAGAGTTAACAAAAGTAAGGTTGGAGATGAGGATTTTCTCTGAATGCATGAGCTCAAAGAGATACCCGCGAGTAGAGTCCAACTTCTTTTTGTGAAATTTATCCCACCAGAAGTGGCCTTGGTCATTTATTGTCCCGTTTTACCTGCGATGATGATATCAATGAGGTTAGTATCCCAGATGAAGTTGTTGTATCTTCCACCAGTAGTATCCCTTCCTCTTCCATAAGACAGAAATGGCTCCGCAATCGGATACTCATCCATGTCTGTGCTAGAGACAATATCTGCATCTCTTTGGAGGAAGAGAGTGAAGTGGCTGGTGAGGTTAAAAGGTCCGATGAGCCACTGAACCGGCGAAACGACGAGCATGCTTCCCCCATCGGAGGCGTTTTCGCTGAGATTAGCAATGACGTCGTGAAATGCTTTAGTATGTGATGTAACCCCATGACTCACTTCGCCAAACTGTGTCAGATCGGCAGCGTGGGCGTGGCATCCTCCCGGTGATGCATCGCCTACAGACAACAAGAGGTGGTCGAACTTCTTCGCCAGCCAGCACTCCACCTTCTCCAACTCCTCACTCTTCTTCTCCGTCATTCTAATGAAATCCTCTGGAATCCAAGGAAAAATAGAGGCCGACGACGAACAGTGCTGGTGGAAGAATCCTTCATTAGGAAGGAGCGGAGGAGGAGCAGAACTAGACGGGTAGGTCACATGACTTCCAATTCAGGAAGGGCCGGCCAGCAAACAAAGCTTGCAAGAAGAGAATGAGAAAAAATTGTTGTTTCAAACATCAAGTTGAGTGTCCCTCCTTTCCTGCACAGAGGATAACATGAAGAGAGTCCAATAATTCTTGATTGAGGGTCGGTGGCTCGAGTATGAAACATTGTTCTGATACCATGTTGAAATTTTAAAATAATGTGAAATATTTGATTGTTTCATATATATGAACGGGGCTATAAAAAACTCTGTTTATAGTGTTCTGAGTGCAATTAATGCAGGAATATGAACCATTTTGATCGGACGGTTCCGAGAGCTTCCCTCGATGGGAAAAAAAAAGAAAAAAAGAAATGATATGAAATGAAAGATTTATCACTTGATATCTTAAATAATCAATTCATATTAATTATTAGGAAATACAGATATCTCAAATAATCAATTCATATTAATTATTAGGAAATACAAGAAATAACATAAAATAGTAAAACAAATAATTACTAATCCAAGAAAATAAATAAAAAATATGAAAGGAAATATCTGCTTAATCTAAGGAAATACATAACCTCTTACACAAATAAATTATTAATATATATATATATATATAGCTCGCTAGGGTTTCGCAGTTATGGCGAACTCTGGTTTCAGATCCACTATTTATAATATATATATATATATATATATATTATAAATATAAATAATAGATATGTGCATATATGAAAATTGCATGGCATGGGTAGTCTTTTATTTTATTATTTATTATTATTATTATTTTTTTTTGCTGTCAAATGTTAAAAATCCAATATAATTTTGGATGTTTATTTGGAGTTTAGACACGCTACCCAAATTAAAATTATATATATGATATGTGCACATATTTATAATTAAGGTATTCAAATATTAGAAGAAAAAAGAAAATTTACTGGCGCCGGAGCATGCAGAGCCAAATGGAAGAGATGATTATATCAAGTCCAGCTGTGCCGTTGATTTCAAAGCTTTGTTATAAATACGTGCACAGATCATTGATAATTACAAAGCAAGCATCATTTTTTATTGGAGTGTTATGAACATGCGGATCCAATATAAATAAAAATAAATAAATTATACATATATATAATACCGACCGGTGTTGAGTGGGGTTTGTTTGGTTTACGCAAATGTAGTTTAAAAATTGAGGCCGACTTCTTTTTCATGTTGCCATTAACTTTTTATTTTTTATAGTTATTTAATTAATTGTGATTTAACACAACATTCAATCACATTAAATCTCTCTGGTTGAAGCATTATCATTCTACCTACGGTTGTCAAAATGGTTTATTGTTCTCGAGCAACTCGTATTCGACTCGTTAAGAAGCTCGTGTTCGACTCGTTCACTAAGTTAATAAGCCGAACACGAACAACACAAACCAAGATTTGTTCGTTTGTGTTCGGCTCGTTTTGACTCGAAATACTACTAATCAATTATATATATACAGAGAGAGAGAAGAATAGTATTTTTAAAAAACTTAATTGTCTAAATGGCTACAAAAATTTATAATCATTTAAAATAATTAATTAAGAAAATATAATAAAAAATACTAATTTAGATTCAATTGATATTTTAATATAAATAATAATTTTTAAATTTTGTCTCAATACTTAACATCTTATGACTATGTGATTAGGGTTGTCAAAACTACTCTTTGTTCGTGAACGGCTTGCGTTCGGCTCGCTAAGCAAACGAGCCGAACACAAACACATTTTTTGAGCTCAAAATAAAAACGAGCCGAACTCGAGTCAGCTCGTGTTCGGCTCGTTTACACCGCTACTATTGTCATGAATTAAGAATATAATTTGTTGAATTCATATAAATATTGTGATTATGTTGTTAATATATCAATTAAAACAATTTAATGTTTCAAGCAGGTTTCCATTGAACAGCTAGAGACATTCGACAGGCCTGCTGCATTTTTCATCCCCTTCCCAATTAATATTAACAACATCCGACTTCGGTAAGTTTCTGGTAGATGTCCCATCAACCACAACGACAGTTTTCGATATGATGCTCGATCATTCGTACCATACCGGAGGATCCAGCTATTTGGTAGCATGCATGTTTATTATTATTATTAATGATGGCTAATATTTAGCCAAATGTTATCAGTTTTAATGGGCGCCAATATTTAGGCTTACAAATGACCAAGTGGGCCTCTATTATTATTTTAATGAGAAAAATCTTCCTCTTTTCCATAAAAAAATAATAATAAAAAAAAAACAACAACAACACTAAACCTAAGTTAAATCCAATAAATTCAAATACAAAATTAAAACATAAAATTAAGAAATTTGAAATTAAAATATAAAAATAATTAAATAAATAAATTAAAATTAAAACATATATAAATCAAACACATATTTAAATTTTGTTTTGAATGGGAAATAATAAAATAATTAATTTACATCACATCCATTCAATAAAATCTAAAAATAAATAAATTGTACACATTTCAATAAATTTCAAATCTAATGCAAGGTCATAAATCAAATCAAATCAATTCAATATTATAATTCATATAATAAATCTAAAATCAAAATTATTCTAATCTACCCCAAATCAAATTCAAACCTAAGTCCAACCTAAGCTTGTATGATACATGACACCACTTAATGTTTATATAACCTTCAGCTTATATCAAAATTACACAAAACAACCAGCAAATTCAATTTCCACTGTAAACCTATATTACATAAATCAAAAGGACATTCATAAAAGAATTCCTCACACGAATGAACATTCAAATAAAATAACAAAATGGTATACACACATCATAACTCTGTCAATATCTAAAATAAATCAAACTCTAAAAAAACTACTTCAAATTCAACTACAAATCTACCATTCAAATCCAACTTAGATCAATATCCAAATCAATCCATAACCTACACTCAAATTCAAGCCAAACCCAACAAAAAATCTAAAGCAAACCCTACACTTATCCATCGCAAATTTAGATAGTCGACCTAAAATGCATTGTAAATTATGCCCTAATCATGTTCCAAAAGTGGCTTCTTAAACCCATTCTAAAATAACTCTAATAATTCCAATAAATTTAATGAATTCGTCTCAAATTTTCATGCAAGTTACAAGTCTTCGTTGCTTAAAACTTTTAACTCATTTCGAGCTTCAATTCAGCTTTCCTCTACTCATTTAAAGTTCAACTCGAATAGCTTTCTTAAAGCCATTTCAAGATCAACCTGAGTAGCCCTCAATAGTCAAATCCTCCTAAATAATAAGCTTTCTTCCCTAACCATCCCGTCTCAAATGTCAAGTTCCTTTCAGTTGCTTCCTGCTCTTGCAACCTCAACAGTCAAATCAATAGCCACATCAAACCCAATTATTGGTGCCAAAAACTCAAGCCCATCCACTGACTTACTCATCAATAAAAACCCCAATGTTCCCTCCATTTGAAGCTACTAAAACATTGAAATTAAGACCTAGAATTCTTCATTCTACTACCTTCTGATGCCTTTCCTTAAGTTCAATATCTCGTTGGACTCAAGAGAGGGGCAAAACAGAATCCCTAGGCACAGTTGGAAACTCACCAACGACATTCAAAAGAACTCATGAATTAGTAGCAATAGTCAATCCCCATTTTTTTTCTTACTCCATTTAAATAATAGAAACATATTACAAACCTCTCATCCCAACTGAGAAGATAATAACCTATAAAATTACTTTTAGGAAAGTAAATAAAGGAAAAAATAACATGAAAAAGAAAAACTCTAATTAACTTCTAAAATAAGAGCCTTTAATTGAGCTTCTTAATTCAAATTCAAAATTTGAATTTTGAATTTTGAATTTGAATTTGAAACTTTAATTAGGATTTATTGCCCTTCCTGATTTGTCTCGGTTTCCAATTCCTCCTCCATAATTTGAGAATTTAATTTGAATTTTGAATTTGAAATTAGGATTTATTGTCCTTCCTAATTTGTCTGGGTTTCCAAATCCTCCTCCATAATTTCCTCTGGATTTGCATCAATTGTCAGTGCTCCTGAAAAACTTGACTCCGGCAAGTTAAGTTGACAGTAAGTAGCAAAAAGATGTGGATTTAAAAGTTGGAGCTCAGATGCTTGTAACCAAACAGAGTCCAAATTTGGACGATTTTTTTATTAGACTAAGAACTTGAAATATCCTCCCAGGCGAGTCGAAACAAATTGATGGTCTAGAATGAAAGCAATCTCATCTCGTGGTATTGTATTTTCTAGCATTCGCATGATCAATGATTCGTTTCGAGCTGGTAGTGCAGAAAAGTCACAGTTTTCTCCTTTGAATGCAGCAAGGTCTTCAATGTTAAACATTGGGCTAATGCCGAAGTTGGAGGGTAGCTCAATAACATAGGCATTAGTTCCTAATTTCGTGATAACTTTTAAAGGGCCTGCTCGACGGGCATGAAGCTTGGTAAAACTCCCTGGAGGAAAACGTTCTGGCCTTAACCGAACAAGGACCAGATCCCCGTTGTTTAATTGATGATCCTTACGTTTTTAGTTTGTTGACGCTGCATAGGAATTTGTGTGGAACGTAAGGCGCCGCTTGCATTCTTCGTAAATAGTTTGCATATAACTACAAAAATCCGCTGCAGCCTAACTTGGCCTGAGTGACAACGACAATGAGTTGAAATCTAGTGGAGTGTTGGGTCGAAACCCATAAACCACCTCGAATGGAGCACAACATGTTTATCTATTAACAGTTGATCTATTCATGTTTATCTATTAACAGAGTTATTGAAGGCAAACTCTGCATGACGAAGTATCATATCCCAGCTGGTAACGTGATCCGCAACAAGACAGTGTAGTAAGTTCTCTAAACTCCTGTTGGTCACTTCAGTTTGACCATCAGTTTGGTGGTGAAATGCTCTTGAAATGATAAAACTGAGGAACTCGACACTTGGCTTCATAAATGAACACTTCTCCCTATTAATAAAGAGTTGTTTCACCTTCAAGACCTTTAGTACCTGTTCGATGTGGCTCAAATGTTCCTGCACACTTTGACTGAAAATTAATATATCATCAAAGTATACTACAACAAATTTACCCAAAAAAGGTTTGAGGATTTGCGTCATGACCCGCATAAACATGTTGGAAGCATTCGTTAATCCGAAAGGTATAACTAACCATTCGAAAAACCAATCTTTTGACTTGAAGGTCGTCTTCCATTCATCCCCGGGTCATATCTGAATTTGGTGATAGCCACTCCGGAGATCTAACTTAGTGAAAATAGAAGAGCCACTTAGCGAGTCTAACATGTCATCAAGGCGTCAGATGGGAAATCGATGCTTCACGGTTATTTTGTTGATTGTGCGGCTATCGACACACATCCTCCAACTACCATCCTTCTTCGGTGTCAACAAAACTGGAACAACACAGAGACTAAGGCTTTCTCGAATAAACCCTTTGCCTAGCAAGTGCTGAATTTGTCGGCTAAGCTCTTCGTTTTCCGTTGGACTCATCCAATGGTGTGGGATGTTGGGCAAAGTTGAACTGGGGATCAAGTCAATAGCATGTTGGACTTCTTGAAGGGGAGGGAGTTGATTCAGCATTTCATCTGGCATGATATGGCCTTCCAACAATGCTGAGAGCTTCGGTGGAACATGATTGTCCCTTTGCGTTGCCTCACGTGTGACTATCATAAGCACCATCTGGTGGTCATGCATAGCACGAGTGAATGGGTGTGTCGCCAGAACTGGGCACGCTTCCTTCTTTGCCTTAAATTCTGTAACTTGTAAGGGATCTAGAACAAACTTTTTACCTCTAAAATCAAAGGAGTAAGTGTTAGCATACCCATCATAAATTACTTTTCGATCGAAGAGCCAGGGTCACCCTAATAACAAGTGGCAAACATTCATAGGAATTACATCGCACTACGCTTCATCTGCGTATGTTTTCCCCAACAAGAAGTTAATCAAACAGCGTCGCTTCACATTGACGAAATTAGCTTCATTAACCCAACTAATCTGATAAGGAGCTGGGTACTTTTCTGTCTTTAATTTTAGTTGTTCTACAACGGTTTCAGAAATCACATTCATGGTACTCCCATTGTCAATAATTACGTTCAACGCCCGACCTTTATGCTCCAGTCGTATATGAAAAATATTGGTGCGCTGCCACTCGGGGTTGGTCTGGAGCTCTTTTTTTTGATCCCATCATTACTCTCTTGATTACGCAGCTGGGTAACTTCGACGCGCTCAAATGTTCTTCTTCACTGTTAATATCCTCATCAAGATGCTCCTCCTTTGTGTCTCCGCCCACCTCCACCTCCAGTAGCTCCTTCTTGCAGAGAAAGGCTAATTTCTTATCTCTAGTCGGGCATATGACGACATAGTGTCCGAAGCCTTTACACTTATAACACTGGGGTCCGTCGCTGGTAACCTTTGTTTTTCTCTTTAAGTCTCCACTTTCCGAGACTCTGAAGTGATCTTTCGGAGCTGATGCTCTTTGAGAAGGAGTTGGAGTAACATGTTCTTGTCGTGCGTCTGTCGCCATCACTTTTCTCATCACCGTAGAACCTATTTATTTCTCAATACGGAGAGCCAATTGGTATGCCTCCTCGACGTTGAGTAAGCGAGCAGTCCACATCTCTCTACGTAGCTCACTCCGCAAGCCGGTGTGGTATCGAGCCAAAGTTTGTTGTTCGGTTTCAACAATTTTGCTGTGGATAATCAACTCGTGGAAGCGGTCCGGGAATTGATCCACACTCATCAGCCCCTTCCTGAGCTGCAAAATTTCCTTAAACATCATTTTCTCGTAATCAATGGGCAAATATTTTTCCTTGAGCCTCTCCTTTGTTTCTTCCTGATTGGAGGCCGCTGGAAGCCGCGTACGTCGTAACCGTTCTTCCACAGTTGCCCACCATGCTCGCACATGCCCCTTCAATTTCATTCGGACGTACCGAACCCTCCTATCCTTTGAGATGAAAAACCAATCGAAGTAATCCTCAATGGCTGTTAACCAATCCTCGAATGCGTTGGGTTCCAGTTTCCTGTCAAAAACTGGCACATCAATCTTCATTCTCTTGGTGAGTTCATATAGAGGTTGATAATCGAGACTACAGTCAACTTGTCCTCGGCAGAAACTCTGCGCGTGGCGCAGGACTCGCAATTCACGGTTCTCCAGCTCCTAAGATTCATCATTGTCCTCTACGTCTTCCGCGTGTCTGTCGTTGTCATCCCTTTTTCTCCTACGAGCTGCTTCTTGTCCTCGTTGATTACTAGGATCATACTCCTTTTGCGCATAGCGTTCCTCCATAACATCAAGCCGATGAGTGAGTTGCTCTAAAGCGGTGGTGAGTTGGTGGACTTGGTGTTGTAGCTGGGGTTGATCTATGTGATGATTGATGGGGTTTTGGTTGTTTGGGTGCGAGTTGTTTGCCATGGCATATGAGCTACCACTGCGAGTTACAGGCATGAGATGAAGTCTTCGTAGTGAGGGAACTTTGGTCATCTTTGATACCAAATTGATGCCTTTCCTTAAGTTCAATATCTCATTGGACTCAAGTGGACTCAAGAGAGAGAGGGGCAAAGCAGAATCCCTCTGCACTGTTGGAAACTCACCTACGGAATTCAAAAGAACTCCTGAATTAGTAGCAATAGTCAATCCCCATTTTTTTTCTTACTCCATTTAAATAATAGAAACATATTCTAAACCTCTCATCCTAACTGGGAAGATAATAACATATAAAATTATATTTAGGAAAGTAAATAAAGGAAAACATAACCTGAAAAAGAAAAATTCTAATTAACTTCTAAAACAAGAGCCTTTAATTGAGCTTCTTAATTCAAATTCAAAATTTGAATTTTAAAATTTGAATTTGAATTTGAAACTTTAATTAGGATTTTTTGCCCTTCTTGATTTGTCTCGGTTTCCAATTCCTCCTCCATAATTTGAAACTTTAATTTGAATTTTGAATTTGAAATTAGGATTTATTGCCCTTCCTGATTTGTCTGGGTTTCCAAATCCTCCTCCATATTTTCCTCTGGATTTGCATCACCTTCCCTAACCTCCTCAGATTACCCTGAAGCCTTATGTTTTTTTCAAATATAAGCTTATTACCAATTTACTTAACCAAATAAGCACACATGTGATTTCCCTTTCCCACTTCATAATTCCTTCATTAAAGCTTTTAAAATACTTGAAGGAAGCTTATAATCCATCATCTCTCATTTCTTCATTAAATTACCTTCTCTATTCTAGTGTTTAATATAGACCACTCACATTTACTCAAGATCATAGCCAAAGCTTAAGGAGTTTATTATTGAGTTTGAAACACTGCTCGAGTGGACTAGATAATCAATCCAAAGGAGATGGAAGCTTTAATTACCCTTGCGTTAAATGTATTCCTCAAAACTTAGGTGTAGGTCTCTCAGTAGTAGTCTTTTGTGAAATAAATGTAAAGATCACATGATTTTGATTGTTAGATTCTTATGACTTTTGATGATGATGTTTTTGCTTGGTTGATTTCCATTTTGTGGCCTTCATCACCTAGATCATGTGTTTTTAATTGAAAGGCTTCAGCTCCCCATCTCATCTTGGATGATGAATGGAAAAAATTCATTTTTCTTCATTTTAGATGGACAATCGTGATTTTGGTTGACCGAGATTATTTCATGAGCCTGTATCCGCCCACAAAACCAGTGATTGTTAATCATTAGCAAAACAATTGCAGCTTTCCATGTGTTTAAGTAGAGAAACCACAGACTGCAGCTTTGCCCTGAGGTGGAAAACTTGGGGGGCATTTTTAATATAATCTAGAAAATTCATTATTACTTTCAAAATTCAAAGAAAATAAAATTAATTTTTTAAAAAAATTTAATATTGAACTTCAGTATAGTTTATTTAACTAAATAAATGAATTTAAAATAAAATTAATAAAATAAAATGAGAAGATTATACAAGTTTGAAGGAATGTTGAGATTGATTATAGTAATCTACTATAATTTTTTTTGGAATAAAAAGCATTAAATAGATAAGTTTATTAATTTTAATAGAATTAATAAAAAAAGTATATATTACAAGTATTATTTAGAATTTAACAATAATAATAAACTGAATATAACTGAAATTAGAGCATTTTGAATCAAAATTAATGATCACTGAAATTGATCTCATAATGTTCCTCATCAATAATTGGACACTTGATGAAGATGGAGTGTATTTGTAAATTTAATATTACAAAATTAACTATACAATTATAAAATCATTAAATTCAATAATACAAATCCTAAAATTTCATAAAATCTTTATCAATGGATTAATTGAACTAAAGAAATGAGATAAATATCAACTTTTTCACTGAATTTGTAAATTAAATAAAATCCTTATATAATATTGTAAAGATTAGTATATTTTTTATTAGTAAATAAGAAATTTCTAAAATTAGTAAATATTAGTAAAGATTAGATGGAGTTTCAACTTTTGCACTTAATTTCTTATAATCACCTTTGCACTTAATTTGTAAAGATTAGTAAATAAGAAATATCTAAAATGGTATATATATTCTTTTATACTTTAAAAATTCCATTAATTACAACATTAAGATAGTCAATCCTTTTTAAGTAATCATTATAATAAATAAATGAATATGAGTGAGTTTTAATTTTACATTTATATTAAGTATAGGTAAATTTGTAATTTCAAAATGTTTAGAGTGTGCATATGCAGTAAATATGAATTGTGTGGTTTGCACGAAAAATTGAAGTTTAGAGTGTACAAATGTATTGCAGATGATTTGTGTGGTTTTTATGTAAAAAATTGAAGTTTAAGTGGTAAATATGTAATACATAAATTTCATATGGTTTGTATATAAAAATTACTCTTAGGTATTAGATGTATAATGCATGAGAATTATAGTGTCCGTAAAATTTGAAGTTAAAGCATTACATATGGAATGCATAAGAATTGTGTGTTTTATATGTAAAAATTGATGTTTGAGTTCTCTCTCTCTCTCTCTCTCTCTCTCTCTCTCTATATATATATATATATATATATATATTACATACAAAATATATGGAGGACTGATATTTAAATATACTAGTCTAGAAATAAATGTATAGACTACAAATGGATATTCCAATTTTAAGATCATGGATATATAGCAGATTGTATTTAGGAAAAAAAGGACCCACTAATGAGTTCTTTAATGTTGTTGAGGAATTTATCCAAATCACATCACAATTGCTCATTTTACCTTTCAGAAAGTAAGTTTCGAAGCACAAAATTCAAGTGACCCTAACACCTGCAGAATTCAAGTTGGAACAGTACTACAAGAAATTTTAAGCCCAATTCTTAGTACTGGACTATACATGGTGAGTATGAACTAGATATTTACTATGATTAAGTTGATGTCCATCAAGTTATGCCCCTCCAACAAAATATGATCCTGACACATATGAAGAAATAAATTATAATAATCACATGGTACATTTTTTAAGGAGTGTTCTTGATTATGATCAAGCATCAAATAGCGAAGTGCAATGTCTTTATGATTTACTTAAAATTGCACAACAATCTTTGTGAGAAGGTCTCAATACATATACAGATTTATGAGTGGTGTTGAAAATATTAAGCATCAAATATGATTTTAAGATGCCCAAAGAATTCTTTAATAAATTAGCAGTATAAATTCAGGAGAGAACCCTTGCAGAGACTTTAGTTTCAGATAACTTTTATAGAACAAAAAAATTAATGTCAAAGTTAGGGTTAAAATCTAAGAAGATAGATTGTTGTTATAATTGTTGGATGCTATATTATAAGGCTGATGCAATAGATATAAATATAGATTTTGTGGTCCTGAGAGATTCAAAAAAAGTGAGAGAAAGAGTAAAAATGAAAAAAATTTCATACAAGTATCTCTTCTACTTGTGTCTCATATCTTAGCTTCTAAGACTATTCACTTCTATATGTACAACTCCTTACATGACATGGCATAGTACAAAATTTTTTGATGTTAAATATTTGAGTCATTTAATAAATGAGAAAGACTGGAGAAAATTTGATCGTAGTTATCCTAACTTTGTAGCTGGACCACATAAGATTAGGCTTGACTTATGCGAAGATGGGTTCACACCGTACGACTACAATGGAACACCCTAATCATATTTTCTAATGATTATTATGCCATATAATTTGTCTCCTAAAATATTCATTACCAAGCCATTCTTATCTCTAATGTTGATCATACCAAGTCCACATAGTCCAAAGGAAAGAATTTGAAGTCTACTTACACCCTTTTATATATGAGCTTCAAGTATTCTGAGAAGCAACCATACTAGCTTATGATATCGCTACAAAATAAAATTTTTAACTAAAATTTTCTTTCATATAGATAATAAATGGGTTCTCAGGTTATGAGATGCTATCTCATTGAGTACTTTCAAAAAATTAGACTATCCTTACTGCATGGAGTTGTCTAAGGCATTCACTTTAAAACATGGAAGAGTGAATTCTTGGTTTGACTTTCATTAAAGGTTTCTAGCCTAAGATAACCCATTTAGAAGGCATAAAGATGTCTTCTTCAAAAATAAAGTTTTAAAAAAACCATCGAGCAATTATAGCTAGATCTGATTATGGCAGATGATTAATGAAATACGAAAGATTGGTGAGAGACCAAAAATTATTCCAAATCATCTTCCTACTTTTATATTTCACATAATTGGACAAAGTAAAGTATTTTCTAGGATCTTCCATACTATAGGACTAATATATTAGACATATAATTAGTGTTATCCATATTAAGAAGAATATTTTTTTATAATATCTTTAATATATTTCAGATATTAAATGTAAAACAAATTATATTGTCAAAGCAAGATCTGACATGGAGCATCAAGAGAAAAATATAGACAAACTTATAAAGCCCAAAAAAAAATACTGTCTCACATTGAATCAACAAGAAAATATGTGAATGGATGCATTCTCTAAGTTTTTCTGGTAGATTAGTGTCAAACTTTAGTCATTGTGTTAACTTGAGAACATGGATGATTTTTGGAATAAAGAGTTATGACTGCCATAAT